AAGCAAAAAATTGTTTAAAATACATACTTACCAAAAGATGACATGCTCCACGACGGCCTGCTGGTCGAATGCCCAATTTAGAGTGGGCGACTGCTTCGGTATCGCCCATTCAAACAATTCCTGGCCAAACTGCATGGCGTGTGAGAGACGCCACTGGATGTTTCCAAACCGCGACGATGATGCGCTGTCCTGCAAGCAAGGTTTGGGAACTCAATTTGGAGTGAGCGACGGCCTCGGCATCGCCCACTCGAACAAGGTATTCAACAGCCCAGCAGCTCCTTGTGGGCTCCATCTAGCATCCTGAACTGCAACCGGCCTGTTTGCGGGCCACCCGGGTCTGCTGACATGCAACTACTGGACGGATTGTGGAGTGTGAGAGACGACAATGAATGTTTCTAAAGCAAGACGCAGAACTGCTGCCCTGCAAATAAAGGCATAAATTAAACAATGTCTAAATAAAGCTTTAAATACATACATACCAAGAAGACGATGCACCCACGACGGTAAATTGGGCCAAATACTCATTTGAAGTGAGCGACTGCTTCGGTATCGCTCATACAAACAATTCCTGGTCAAGCTGCGTGGCGTGTGAGAGACGCCACCAGATATTTCCAAATCACGAAGATGATGCGCTGTCCTGCAACCAAAGGCACATAATTAAAAGCAAAAAATTGTTTAAAACACATACTTACCAAGAAGATGACATGCTCCACGACGGCCTGCTGGCTAAATACTCAACCTGGAGTGAGCGACAGCTCCGGCACCGCCCTCTCAAACAAAGTGGGCAACAGCTCAGCAGCTCCTGTTGGGCTCCATCTAGCAATCTGAATCGCTACCGGCCTGCTTCCAGGCCATCCATTACTATTGAGCCGATTGAATGCGTTACTGTGACCGCCAAGCCAACTGACATGCAATTACTGGCAAGCTTCGTGGCGAGTGAGAGACGCCAACGGATGTTTCCAAACCATGACACTAAGTGCTGTCCTGCAAATAAAGACGATGCGCCTATGACGGTCGACTGGGCCCAGTACTCAATTTGAGGTGAGCGATTGCTTCGGTATCGCCCAGTCAAACAATTTCTGGCCAAGCTGCGTGGCGTGTGAGAGACGACGCTGGACGCTTCCAAATCACGACGAAAATGCGCTGTCCTGCAACCAAAGGCACATAAATAAAAGCAAAAATTGTTTTAAAATACATACTTACCAAAAGATGACATGCTCCACGACGGCCTGCTGGTTGAATACCCAACTTGGAGTGGGCGACTGCTCCGGCATCGCCCATACAAACAATTCCTGGTCAAACTGCATGGCGTGTGAGAGACGCCATTAGAAGTTTCCTAACCACAAGATGATGCGCTGTCTTGCAAGCAAAAGCACAAATAAAAAAATTGTTTACATACTTACCAAGAAGATGATACGCCCCACGATGGCCTCCTGGTTAAATACACAATTTGCAGTGAGCGACGGCATCGGCATCGCCCACTCGAACAAAATATGCAACAGCTCAGCAGCTCCTTGTGGGCTCCACCTAGCACCCTGAACTGCAACCGGCCTGTACTGCGGGCCACCCAATGCGTTGCTGCGGCTGCCAAGCCAGCTGACATGCAATACTCAGATAAGATGATCTGCTCCACGACGATCCACTGAGCCAAACCACTAATTGGCATGAGCGACGGTATAGCCCAGCAGCTTCATGTGGGCTCCCCTCACTTCCTGAATTGCCCGAGTGGCCATCCATCATAAGCGTACCTGCCAGCTGAGTGAGATGCATGACGCGCGATAGCCGCCACAGAGGAAGTTACCACTGTTTTCAATAAGACGCAGGTTCCCACGGCGGATTACTGGGCCAAAACTCAGGAAACGCTGCCATTGATGCTGCTCCTAAAGATGAGTAATGCAGGACGATAAATATCGTTGCAAATAAAAATACCAAAAACGCGTTTAGCCGATAAGTTAATACCGACACGCTGTAACAGGGCTGCAAAATGTTTTGCCCACAAATTATAATACTTCTGTTGCCATTTAAATTTAAAATAAGTTGCTATGTTAAAGTAATGAGTTAAATTAAAAATAAAGACACCGTCAGTATCTTTCTGGCGGGCAAGTGGTTAAGATTAAAAGTATCTTTCTGGCGGGCAAGTGGTTAAGATTAAAAAAAGATTAAAAAAAAAAAAAAAAAAAAAGTAAATGCTGCGCTCAGATGAGGAATACGATTCCTCTGACGCCTCCATAATCTCGGTCGGCTACAACTTCGGTGATATAGCGAGATACGTCATGCCCAGTGCCAGTGAATCTGATAATTCCCAACTTGACAAATTAACGACGGCACCCTTGACCGTGCCAGACGCTACTGCTCACGGTACTACCCGGCGACTCTCCATGGATGCACTTGCTCCAGCCAACTCTAGCCACGATGCTGCCCCATCGGCGGCAGATCCGACGAGAGCAAGCGGTGAGTACATAGTCACACTCCCGTCGCAGTCCAACTCGGACCTGTCCACCAAGCCTATCCGCGGTTCACCCATGGATGTAACGTTTGACACCGAGGATGAAGCCGCCCTTGCTGAAATGGATGCCCCGCTGAGCCCCCTGCAAACGACAGTAATGGAAAAAACCATTTGCCCAAAAATCTTCAAAAAAGAACAAGCAAAGAAAGGGCCGCCAAAACGCGCATCAGACGCCACTAACACCACAAAAAAAGGCGCCAATACATATAAAATCCAAAAGAAAAAAGCGAAAATCACTAACACAATCAAACGCAAAAGTAGCGGCACATTCCCCGCCAAAAGAGAAATAAGAGACACAAAAAGAATGACAAATGCCAACGGAATCGGCACACACACACTACAACAGTGCGCACAGCAAATACACACACAGGGCAAGGAAACTGCTTTATCGACAAGTGCCAATAAAAGCGGCGCACACATACTACAGCAGGAACTAAACGCTGCTTTACAGTCCTCATCTACCAATGCACGCATGAACGCCAACATAACTGGCACTCAGCAACAACAAGCAACACAGCAGAAACCACTACAACAGCCAATACAGAGCCAACAACAAGTTAAACCTTGGAAGCTACTTCTCCAGCAATGGAAAAACAATTCTATGCCTGCGCCAACAGCAACAACTACAACAACCACAACCAGAAGAAACTTGCTGCCATCTTTAATAAAATCGCCGCCAACTCAGACGCTAACAATGACGGCAGAAAATACCAACAACGACAAAGCAACATTGCTACAAAGCTGGCTATCTGGTGTGCCACCACTGCTGCCCAACGAACTACCAAAGCCTCCACTAGTAACGATAAATACCGCCGCCACAACATGGCGATCCCCCCTGAAGAGAAGATGTGTGGACATGGATGAATCTGATGATGATCCCGCTCTCCAGGTGCTACCGCTAACAACGCCCATTTTTAAGAGCGGGTTCGCCATCAAGCTCCACCAGGAGGCACGCCGGCAACAAATGCTCCAAAGTGACGCACAGCAGCAACATGGACAGCAGGCAGAACAGCAAGGGCAATCACAAAATTGTCAGCATTCACAGCCACATCAACAACAGAATCAACAAAAATCGCAGCAACATCAGCAATCAAAGGACGAGAGCTCGCAGCAGCAATCGAAAGAGCATCTACCACAGCCACTACAGCAACAGACAATACAAAGCAAGAAAGTGCCCGCACTCTTCTTGCCGATGGTGCCCGCAATTATACCACTACTAGATAAACTGAAAAGCAATCCAGGTGTTGGAAAATTCTCCACAAAGGCAACATCTGGCAGCGGATTACGTGTCCAATGTGAAGATCTGGTCACACACAACGCAATCCTGACCGCCCTGGCTGAAGAAGGCACTCATCTGCATACGCACCAACTACGCAGCGAAAAGGGATATCGCATAATCTTGCGCCATATCCATCACACTACACCCTGTGAATGGATAGCGGCCAAGCTAGAACAATTGGGCTTTGTCGCTCGATTCATCCGAGGCATAAAACACCGGTTTACAGGCAGGCCGCTGAATATATTCGAAATCGAACTGCAGACCAAAGCGGATGGGAGCCATGAAGACATCCTCAACCTGAAAGAGCTGGGGAGCCAATCAGTCGCGGTCGAGCGGCAAGTCAAACCTCGTGATCCAGTGCAGTGCCATCGGTGCCAGGCCTTTGGACACACGAAAAATTACTGCAGGCGGCCTTTCGTCTGCATGAAATGTGCAGGTGAGCACATGTCAACTGCGTGCACCAAACCCAGACAGGTGGAGCCCAAGTGCGCAAATTGCAAGGGCAATCATATAAGCTGCTATAAAGGCTGCCCTGCCTACAAAAACGCACGCAGCAAACTAAGGGCAAACCGAGTCATGGCCGATGATAAACAGCGGCAAGAACGTGAGCAGAGGCAGCAGCCACTGCCAGGAATCCAGCATCCACACCAGATAAAACCAGCACATCAGCAGTCAAGAGCATTAAAACAGCCAGGAGTCGCTAAGCTATCCTACAGTCAGGTCGTGCGTAACGGCAACGCTGCCGGTCGCGTACGAAACCCGGCCGAAAGACACTTGGCCACTTTCCAGCAGCAACTACGATTGGAACAACAGCAAAATCAACTACCAAATCCTCCCATGAGGGAACAGCAGATCTCAGCAACAAACAATGCCAGTACACTGAATTCAGCTGAAAGATCCACCAACATGTCCCACAGCCGGCTTGTGTCCACAATCCGCAAACATAACCCGAAAAGAAAGCTTTTAGGAACACTTCAGCGGCCACTTCGCAGACGGCAGAATCAACAACAACATCGTTCGAACAATTCCAGGAAGCCAGCAACATCATCAATTAACAAGCCAGCTACTCCAACCAATCGTGACAAGTTCACGCACGGCCAAGTCGACTATAGTGCTCCCTTGCGCAATTCGTTTGGAAGTCATTTGGCCACTCCACAGCAACATCAATGGGATGAACAGCAGCAGCAGGCAGGACACCAATCATCAATGTCCAAAAGCACTATACTCCAGACATTAGAACAAAACATGGCAATGTTTAGTCGCATGGAAAAAAGAATAGACACTCTATTAAATGTCCTTGTGCAATTCATTACCATCCATAATGAAAACAATACAACAAACACCAATAATCATGTGTTCCCAAACATAGCCCATCAACAAACAGACAGCAAAGCAGCCCAAATGGACTGCTCTAGGGAAGCTGCCATCGCCAATGACGTCACTAAATATGTATAGTCGTACTCACAGCAGTACCGACTCTCAATTGACCATAGCCACTACTTCCTCAGCTGAAAATGTCCACAACAGTGCGCCAATTAGTACAGCAAATCCACATGTGACCATCCACAGGAGCGGCCAGAATAGCAACCCACTTAAAATTGCTTTCTGGAATGCATGTGGTATAGGCAACAAAATGACAGAGCTAGAGCTGTACATGCGACGCGAGTCCATCCAAATTATGATGGTCATCGAAACTCGGGTTCCATCTGACGCCAGCATACTAAGCATGGACGGCTACCACACATACAGTACAACCAATCCACACACGTATCGGAGAGGTGGAGTCGCTATCTTTGTACGAAACGACATTAGACATGCCGCCCTTCATCCAATGTCCGAGAACTTCCTCCAGATTATGCCTGTTGCCTTACTTCCTGAAAATGAGAATAAAAGGGAAATAATTATAATTGCGCCAATATACTGCCCCCCAGTGTTCAAATGGTCAGTCGAACACTTCACAAAACTGTTCAGACATTTTGACAAAATCACAGAACTGGCTTCATCTAACTTTCTCCTCTGCGGTGACTGGAATGCCCAGCACTCATGGTGGGGAAACCCGCGCGCCTGTCACAGAGGCAAAGCGCTCTTCGAAGCAATTCACACGCAAAGTCGATATAATGTTCTGGCCACCGGCGGAGCAACGCACTACCCGTACGATAGGAGGAAAAGACCATCAGCAATTGACCTCGCAGTCTACGGTGGGCTAGATAGCAATCGACTTCGAATCCACTCCTCTACGGACCTGGACTCGGACCACCTGCCCCTAAGAGTTGATCTGATCACTAACAAAAATCGAATCTTTACAACTCATACTGGAAATCACAGACTGCTACCTAATGGAGCCAATACGCATCGTTTTCAGGAGCTTCTTGACCAGCAAATCCACTTAAACACCGAGATCCGCAGTGGCCTGGACATCGACGATGCAGTGAACATCTTCGTACGCAACGTTCAAATAGCGGCAGATGCAGCAGCACACAGGCAGATAGGAAACCAGCTTAGCCACCGGGCCCACCGCAGGCACGATCTTGAACTGGACGAGCCAACCAGAAGACTATTATCGGAGAAACAGAGATGCAAGCAGATTTTAATGGCGACACGAACTCCAGAGGCAAGGCAACAATATAGGTCTGCACAAAATAAGTTGAAGAAGGCACTAATCCAGCTGAAAAACAAGAATATTAATAAAATGCTTGTGGACATTGACACCCATGATCGATACGCTATGCAAAAGCTTTGGAGACTTACCAACAAGCTTAAAAAACAGCCGCAGCCCAATTGGCCAATAAAAACAATACAGGCTAATGTTGGCAATGGGGGCGCGAGGCGTGCGACAAATCCAAACGTAATATGGACGAAAACTACTGCCGAAAAAGCGGAGGCTTTCGTCGCCCACCTTGAAGAAAGATTCAGTCCAAATTTCTCTAATTCGTCTGAGGAGCGTGCAGAAATTCGTCAGGAATGGAGACAACTGAAGCAGCAGAAACTCCAGCAGCAACAAACAGACCAGGAGCTACAGCAGACTATTAGGCCAATCACGCTCAATGAACTAAAGCTAGAAATTGATGCACTAGTGGTAACGAAGTCGCCTGGAGAAGATAAAATAGATAACAGAATTATCCAACTTTTACCGCAAAAAGCGCTGCTATACTTACTGCTAATCTACAACTCTAGCCTAAGGTTAGGGCATTTCCCAAGCAAATGGAAACACGCTGGCATAACTATGATTCCCAAGCCTGGTAAAAGCACAGCTGAAGCAACATCATATCGTCCAATCAGCCTCTTATCGGGCCTATCAAAGATCTTCGAGAAGCTCTTAATGTCAAGGCTCTTCGAAGTCCAGGATTTTGCCAGGGCAATGCCAAGCCATCAATTTGGCTTCAGGCGAGAACACGGCACTGAGCAGCAACTGGCCCGCGTTACGCAATTTATATTACGCGCATACGAAGAGCGACATTTCTGCTCAGCGGTCTATATAGATATCTCGGAAGCCTTTGACCGCGTGTGGCATGACGGCCTGCTGAACAAGTTAATAAAATTGTTACCATTAAACCTTTATACGATACTTGAAAATTACCTATGCGAGCGCACCTTCGTAGTAAACTGCAACGACGGTGTCAAATCTAGAACAGGTCGAGTTGCTGCCGGCGTGCCCCAGGGCAGTGTGCTGGGCCCAATTCTGTACACAATTTACTCGTCGGATATGCCCCTCCCATCGCTCATGAGACGCACATACTTTGCGCCCAGCCAAAATCAAATGCTGTTATCAACATACGCCGACGATACAGTGATCATGTGTGCCTCTGCGCTTCCCTCGGGGGCTGTCGGACAGAACGAGGAATACCTTCGCCACTTCACAAAATGGGCGAAAAAATGGTCCATTAGTATCAACGCTAACAAAACAGGCCATGTGCTCTACACACTGAGAAATCTAGCTCAAACAGATAGAGAACGGTCACCACTACTAAATGGGCAAAGGATACCAAGCAAAACCTCACAGACATACCTGGGAATCATACTGGACCGGAAACTCACCCTCAAACCACATGTCACTCACCTAAGTAACAAGCTGAGAGCAAGAGCATCCAAACTGATGTGGCTCCTTGGTCCCAACAGCAGACTGGCAAAGGACTGCAAAGCGGTACTCATCAAGCAGCTCATCATACCAATCTGGCAATACGGTCTCCCTGTCTGGGGGGCGCTCACATCGGACACACAGTTACAACGAATTCAGCGACTGCAAAATAAAATAATAAGAAAATCAGTTAATGCATCCTGGTACACCAGAAACGCAACAATACGGAGTACATACTGCCTTAAAACTGTTGACGAAGTCTTTCACTTGGCAAGTGACCGCTTTGCAAACTCGTTGGTCAGACATGCAAACCCTGAGGCACGAAACCTGCTAGAGCACCCATTTGAGCCACAGCGCCTACTGAGGCCCCGCTACATGCAGCAATTACAACAACACATACGACCGCTTCAGAATCATCATGGACCGCAACAGCGCCAAGCACAGCCACCGCACACACAGCACACTGCTCACCAAGCACAACAAGCACAACAAAGGATGCAATTTAGAGAGCAGCTTCCAACACTCCTCCGGCTTCAAGAAGAAGAGCTAGAGAGGCGAGAAAATGAGAGATTGGCCGAAATCCAGGCAAGGCAACAGATCCAGCAACCTAATCGGCCGCCTCCTAGAAGATTCGGGGAGTCAATAATAAATGCGTTAAGAAGAATGTATAGAAGCGGAGAAATCACCCGTGAAGAGGTAGTGGCAGATATTCAAGGCCAACCCCCAACAATCCAGCGATTAATCCTACCAGACTATGTGGACGAGAGGCAGCAGGATCATCAAACACAGCAAGCTCTGCCAATGCAGATGCAACAGGCACCATCAACGCAGCAACAACAGCAGCTAACTACGCCAACTCAGGAGTCAGTGAATCCGCAGTTGCAACCGCAGCTACAGCAGCCGCAACTCCAACAAACTCAGCTAACGACGACTGTCATCCAGGCCAGGCACCAACTCCAGCAAATACCTAGAAGATTTGGGGAGTTAAGAATAAATGCGTTAAGAAGAATGTATAGAAGCGGACAAGTTACCCGTGAAGAGCTAGTGGCTAACATCCAAGGCCAACCTCCAACAATCCAGCGATTAATCCTACCAGACTATGTGGACGAGAGGCAGCAGGATCATCAAACACAGCAAGCTCTGCCAATGCAGATGCAACAGGCACCATCAACGCAGCAACAACAGCAGCTAACTACGCCAACTCAGGAGTCAGTGAATCCGCAGTTGCAACCGCAGCTACAGCAGCCGCAACTCCAACAAACTCAGCTAACGACGACTGTCATCCAGGCCAGGCACCAACTCCAGCAAATACCTAGAAGATTTGGGGAGTTAAGAATAAATGCGTTAAGAAGAATGTATAGAAGCGGACAAATTACACGTGAAGAGCTAGTGGCTAACATCCAAGGCCAACCCCCAACAATCCAGCGATTAATCCTACCAGACTATGTGGACGAGAGGCAGCAGAATCATCAAACACAGCATACTCTACCAATGCAGACTCAACAGGCATCAGTAACGCCACAACAGCAGCTAACGACATCACCTCAGGGGACAGGAAACCTGCAATCGCTGACGCAACCACAGCAGCCGCAACTACAACACACCCAGATAAATACAGCCATCAGCCACGAAACACTCCTGGAGCATGGCCTCCAGAGAGTCCGGTTAACATTGGAACGCGTTCTAAATGAAGACATGGAAGTCGCAAGCTCCCAAGATGATCTGCTGGGTCAAATAATTAGTTTGGAATGAGCAACGGCATTGGCAGCGTCTACCAAAACAAATATGAAATAGCTCAACTGCTCCTTGTGGGCTCCATCCAACATCCTGACTCATAACGGAACCGATTTAATACTTTGCCGCCAAGTCAGCTGACATGCAATTCCTCGACAAATTGTGGAGTCTGAGAGACGCCAATAGATGTTTCCAAACCACGACACAGAAGTGCTGACCTGCAAACAAAGGCACAAATTAAACACTGTTTAAACAAAGCTTTAAATGCATACACACCAAGAACACGATGCGCCCACGACGGCCAACTGGGCCAAATTCTCAATTTGGAGTGAGCGAGTGCCTCGGCATCGCCCACTCAAACAAAATATGCAACAGCTCAGCAGCTCTTTGTGGGCTCATCCAGCATCCTGAAACGCAAACAGCCTGCTTGCATGCCATCAAGTACAACGGAGCCGATTTAATACGCTGCTGTGACTACCAAGTCGACTGATATGTAAATTCTGGACAAGCTGCGTGGCGTGTGAGAGACGCCACCAGATATTTCCAAATCACGAATGATGATGCGCTGTCCTGCAACCAAAGGCACATAAATAAAAGCAAAAAATTGTTTAAAATACATACTTACCAAAAGATGACATGCTCCACGACGGCCTGCTGGTCGAATGCCCAATTTAGAGTGGGCGACTGCTTCGGTATCGCCCATTCAAACAATTCCTGGCCAAACTGCATGGCGTGTGAGAGACGCCACTGGATGTTTCCAAACCGCGACGATGATGCGCTGTCCTGCAAGCAAGGTTTGGGAACTCAATTTGGAGTGAGCGACGGCCTCGGCATCGCCCACTCGAACAAGGTATTCAACAGCCCAGCAGCTCCTTGTGGGCTCCATCTAGCATCCTGAACTGCAACCGGCCTGTTTGCGGGCCACCCGGGTCTGCTGACATGCAACTACTGGACGGATTGTGGAGTGTGAGAGACGACAATGAATGTTTCTAAAGCAAGACGCAGAACTGCTGCCCTGCAAATAAAGGCATAAATTAAACAATGTCTAAATAAAGCTTTAAATACATACATACCAAGAAGACGATGCACCCACGACGGTAAATTGGGCCAAATACTCATTTGAAGTGAGCGACTGCTTCGGTATCGCTCATACAAACAATTCCTGGTCAAGCTGCGTGGCGTGTGAGAGACGCCACCAGATATTTCCAAATCACGAAGATGATGCGCTGTCCTGCAACCAAAGGCACATAATTAAAAGCAAAAAATTGTTTAAAACACATACTTACCAAGAAGATGACATGCTCCACGACGGCCTGCTGGCTAAATACTCAACCTGGAGTGAGCGACAGCTCCGGCACCGCCCTCTCAAACAAAGTGGGCAACAGCTCAGCAGCTCCTGTTGGGCTCCATCTAGCAATCTGAATCGCTACCGGCCTGCTTCCAGGCCATCCATTACTATTGAGCCGATTGAATGCGTTACTGTGACCGCCAAGCCAACTGACATGCAATTACTGGCAAGCTTCGTGGCGAGTGAGAGACGCCAACGGATGTTTCCAAACCATGACACTAAGTGCTGTCCTGCAAATAAAGACGATGCGCCTATGACGGTCGACTGGGCCCAGTACTCAATTTGAGGTGAGCGATTGCTTCGGTATCGCCCAGTCAAACAATTTCTGGCCAAGCTGCGTGGCGTGTGAGAGACGACGCTGGACGCTTCCAAATCACGACGAAAATGCGCTGTCCTGCAACCAAAGGCACATAAATAAAAGCAAAAATTGTTTTAAAATACATACTTACCAAAAGATGACATGCTCCACGACGGCCTGCTGGTTGAATACCCAACTTGGAGTGGGCGACTGCTCCGGCATCGCCCATACAAACAATTCCTGGTCAAACTGCATGGCGTGTGAGAGACGCCATTAGAAGTTTCCTAACCACAAGATGATGCGCTGTCTTGCAAGCAAAAGCACAAATAAAAAAATTGTTTACATACTTACCAAGAAGATGATACGCCCCACGATGGCCTCCTGGTTAAATACACAATTTGCAGTGAGCGACGGCATCGGCATCGCCCACTCGAACAAAATATGCAACAGCTCAGCAGCTCCTTGTGGGCTCCACCTAGCACCCTGAACTGCAACCGGCCTGTACTGCGGGCCACCCAATGCGTTGCTGCGGCTGCCAAGCCAGCTGACATGCAATACTCAGATAAGATGATCTGCTCCACGACGATCCACTGAGCCAAACCACTAATTGGCATGAGCGACGGTATAGCCCAGCAGCTTCATGTGGGCTCCCCTCACTTCCTGAATTGCCCGAGTGGCCATCCATCATAAGCGTACCTGCCAGCTGAGTGAGATGCATGACGCGCGATAGCCGCCACAGAGGAAGTTACCACTGTTTTCAATAAGACGCAGGTTCCCACGGCGGATTACTGGGCCAAAACTCAGGAAACGCTGCCATTGATGCTGCTCCTAAAGATGAGTAATGCAGGACGATAAATATCGTTGCAAATAAAAATACCAAAAACGCGTTTAGCCGATAAGTTAATACCGACACGCTGTAACAGGGCTGCAAAATGTTTTGCCCACAAATTATAATACTTCTGTTGCCATTTAAATTTAAAATAAGTTGCTATGTTAAAGTAATGAGTTAAATTAAAAATAAAGACACCGTCAGTATCTTTCTGGCGGGCAAGTGGTTAAAAAAAAAAAAAAAAAAAAAAATCTGGCGGGCAAGTGGTTAAGATTAAAATTAAATCGCCCACTCGAACAAGGTATTCAACAGCCCAGCAGCTCCTTGTGGGCTCCATCTAGCATCCTGAACTGCAACCGGCCTGTTTGCGGGCCACCCGGGTCTGCTGACATGCAACTACTGGACGGATTGTGGAGTGTGAGAGACGACAATGAATGTTTCTAAAGCAAGACGCAGAACTGCTGCCCTGCAAATAAAGGCATAAATTAAACAATGTCTAAATAAAGCTTTAAATACATACATACCAAGAAGACGATGCACCCACGACGGTAAATTGGGCCAAATACTCATTTGAAGTGAGCGACTGCTTCGGTATCGCTCATACAAACAATTCCTGGTCAAGCTGCGTGGCGTGTGAGAGACGCCACCAGATATTTCCAAATCACGAAGATGATGCGCTGTCCTGCAACCAAAGGCACATAATTAAAAGCAAAAAATTGTTTAAAACACATACTTACCAAGAAGATGACATGCTCCACGACGGCCTGCTGGCTAAATACTCAACCTGGAGTGAGCGACAGCTCCGGCACCGCCCTCTCAAACAAAGTGGGCAACAGCTCAGCAGCTCCTGTTGGGCTCCATCTAGCAATCTGAATCGCTACCGGCCTGCTTCCAGGCCATCCATTACTATTGAGCCGATTGAATGCGTTACTGTGACCGCCAAGCCAACTGACATGCAATTACTGGCAAGCTTCGTGGCGAGTGAGAGACGCCAACGGATGTTTCCAAACCATGACACTAAGTGCTGTCCTGCAAATAAAGACGATGCGCCTATGACGGTCGACTGGGCCCAGTACTCAATTTGAGGTGAGCGATTGCTTCGGTATCGCCCAGTCAAACAATTTCTGGCCAAGCTGCGTGGCGTGTGAGAGACGACGCTGGACGCTTCCAAATCACGACGAAAATGCGCTGTCCTGCAACCAAAGGCACATAAATAAAAGCAAAAATTGTTTTAAAATACATACTTACCAAAAGATGACATGCTCCACGACGGCCTGCTGGTTGAATACCCAACTTGGAGTGGGCGACTGCTCCGGCATCGCCCATACAAACAATTCCTGGTCAAACTGCATGGCGTGTGAGAGACGCCATTAGAAGTTTCCTAACCACAAGATGATGCGCTGTCTTGCAAGCAAAAGCACAAATAAAAAAATTGTTTACATACTTACCAAGAAGATGATACGCCCCACGATGGCCTCCTGGTTAAATACACAATTTGCAGTGAGCGACGGCATCGGCATCGCCCACTCGAACAAAATATGCAACAGCTCAGCAGCTCCTTGTGGGCTCCACCTAGCACCCTGAACTGCAACCGGCCTGTACTGCGGGCCACCCAATGCGTTGCTGCGGCTGCCAAGCCAGCTGACATGCAATACTCAGATAAGATGATCTGCTCCACGACGATCCACTGAGCCAAACCACTAATTGGCATGAGCGACGGTATAGCCCAGCAGCTTCATGTGGGCTCCCCTCACTTCCTGAATTGCCCGAGTGGCCATCCATCATAAGCGTACCTGCCAGCTGAGTGAGATGCATGACGCGCGATAGCCGCCACAGAGGAAGTTACCACTGTTTTCAATAAGACGCAGGTTCCCACGGCGGATTACTGGGCCAAAACTCAGGAAACGCTGCCATTGATGCTGCTCCTAAAGATGAGTAATGCAGGACGATAAATATCGTTGCAAATAAAAATACCAAAAACGCGTTTAGCCGATAAGTTAATACCGACACGCTGTAACAGGGCTGCAAAATGTTTTGCCCACAAATTATAATACTTCTGTTGCCATTTAAATTTAAAATAAGTTGCTATGTTAAAGTAATGAGTTAAATTAAAAATAAAGACACCGTCAGTATCTTTCTGGCGGGCAAGTGGTTAAGATTAACTGAGCTGCAGCACGAACACTTGCAGCGGCAGCAGCAGGAACCAATACGGACGGCAGAGCCGGCCCCAGAGGGCACAATACAATCGGCTATTGATACCGATGAATTGCAACTAGAGCGCAACCTCGGTATGTTGGAGCAGGCACTGGGACAGGAGATGGATGATGCGCTCAATGTTGCAGGAAATAATATTCAAACCGAAATACAGCAGCGGCTCGCAGACAATGAGTCAGTGCAGCTGAATACAAATGAGCTGCAAATGCAACATGGCCAACGGCTATGCGGCAGCAGCACTAACAATACAAATGCTACTAATACTAACAATACAAATAATGATAATGATTTTGATAACGATGAATTTGAATTGTTCTTGTCAACTTACCTGCAGAAGAAGGCCGATTTGAATCCCTCGTTGGTACACTCAGTACAGCCTGGCCCGCTCTCCTCGCGGCGGCAAAATAATTTGTATCCCTCGCTGGTTTATATAGCACAGCCTGGCCCGCTCTCCCTGCGGCGGCAAAATGATGTACATCCCTCGTTGCAGCCTGAGACTGAGCCTGGCCCGCTTTCCTCGCGGTGTCATAACTATGTTCATCCAACGAGGCAGCAGCAACTGCAGCCCGATTCGCTCCCTGAGCAGCGGCAAAACAATACAAATTCCGAACAGTTGCCACTGGATATGCCTGGGCTCATTGTGGAGCGCCAGGCTGACAGATGTCCAACGATGCAGCAGCTGATGGAGCCTGGCCCCCCTGAGGAGCTGGAAATGCAGCTGGTGCCTGTGCAGGGGCAGCCTGGGCCATCACGGCCGCCATCGATGACCGAACATGATTTGCAGCAACGAAAGCCAACGCCTGCAAAGCGAAAGGATGAGAATTTAATGCTGCCTGCAAAACGTAGATGCACTTACCAAATGGCGTCAATTCGGAGGCGACTGCAAGGGCCGCTCCAAGAGGAGCTGCTGCCTGACAAGCGGCAGTGGCAGCAGCAGCGTATCGGCCAGGAGGCACTGGCTATGACTGGGCCATTTCCGATGTTTTTCACAGCAGCCATACCTGAAAAAAGAAAAAGGCAAATTAGACGTGCTCCGCAAGGTAGGAAAAGAGTACGTACCTGCCTCCCAGCACACGCGGAACTTGTGCGGGCGCCCCTGCAGACGGAGCTGCAATGGTCAACGGACATGCTCCGTCCTCGAAGAAGTCCAAACTGGCTGACTGAGCGCGGCCCATATGGAATTCAAAAAGCACACCACGTGCACGACACTTTTATATGCTGCGACTCCTGTTTGCATAGTGGTGTCCATGAGAAGCGGCAGCACAACTCAATAAGACAGCGGAGGCGTCGTCGGATGCGGATAAATGCCTACGGCAGGCACATAGTGCATCAGCAGATGAATGCGTCGGCGCCTGTGTGGCGGCCGGTACATGGCTGGCGGCGTCTGGCGCATAGAAAAGCGCGACCTTTGAGCGCAATAATCAAATTTAATAAGCAACCCGCCAATAATCTGTAAAAAGAAACATTTATAATTAGATATATGTTAAGAAACTAATTTTTGCAAAAATGCGACTTACCTCTGTTCAAAAGTTTTAGATTTCCACGTTGCGACGGAAAAAAAAAAAAAAAAATGTATACGCAGAGCATATGTGGTCAAATATAACTGTATGTTGCGTAGCGTTGCCACCTATGCAGCGTTGCCACACTGACAGTTCTTAGTTGTTAATGCAATTTAGTATTATTAGGGATTTAGTACTTTTAGTCTTTTAGTATTTTAGTATAAGTATTTATTGTATTTAGTACGTAAGTTTAATACAGACACATTCTATGTGTCTAACAACATGTTTATAGAGTTAGGATACAATGTTGCCAAATAATGTTCTTATATGTTGCTAAAGTGAAAGTAATGGAAAAGAATAAAGCAAGTCACGGAGGAATTTCATTCCACTGCTGACATATATTGTGCTCGGATGCACTCAACTAAAACTGGCGAGCCTCTTGATCTCTTTCAAGTTGAGCTTGAGCCTAAAAAGAACAATAACGAAATTTTCGACTTAACAGTCCTGGGAGGCCAGCGAGTCAAAGTCGAAAAGCCAATAAGAAATACGGATGTTGTGCAGTGCCACCGTTGCCAACAGATTGGACACACAAAAAATTACTGTCGCCGCATATTTAGATGCGTAAAGTGCGGACAAGAGCACCCATCAACACTCTGTGAAAAGGCGCCTAGTGCAGAAGCGAAATGTGCTAATTGTAAGGGCCCACATGCTGCTAGTTACAGGGGCTGCATCTTCTTCAAAAACAATGCTAAAAAGAGGGAACCTGCCGTTCTACAAAGAGCCAATAGATTGCTATTTCAGCTTGGAGAACCCACCATTCCAATTAGCTCTGGTAGGCAACAGGGACGACCAAAGCAGCAACCGCTTCGGCCTCCAGTTGTTCAGGGCCAGCAGGCACAACAGCAGCAACCACAGCGGCCCTCTGAGCAGCAGAAGCAGCCGCAGCACAACTCATTCCGTCAGCAAGTGCAACACCAGCAGCCAATGCCTCAAGCTGCAAGCAGCTATGCAGCCGCCCTTAAAGCTGGCCTGCCAGATGAGCGCTCCCGAGTGCAGAAGCAGACCGCACAGCGCCAAACAACTCGACAGCAGCCTCAACATGATTCGAGATTGCAGCACAACAATCAGCCGCCTCAGCGCCACCAGCATGTGCATTATCAGGAGCGAGAAACTCGGCAAGTGATAGCACATCCTGCAGAAGCGCGCCAGCAACACAGGAGCCGCAGCCGCAGCTCACCGCGAACTGCATACCCGCGAGATGACCTCAGCCGAAAACTTGATCAGCTGATCAACATAATGGTTGAACAACAAAGGAGCCCAATTGCCCCTGCCAATAACAGCAACCTGGAAAGTAAAATTGACAGATTAGTTGATCTAATGACGAGTATGATGGCTACCGTAAGCACTCTCATGTCTACCATGGAGCGCGTCAATGGTAACCAAAATGTCTAGCCACGACGCTAACTCCATCACTTCCTCCTCAGAGAGAAATGGGCATAACATATATGCCAGACTCAACACCAACGCCCTTAAAATTGTAGCCTGGAATGCAGCAGGACTACACAATAAACTGGAAGAGATGGAGTTATTTATGCTGCAAAACGAAATCGACGTAATGTTAATAGCTGAAAGCTACCTACGGGATGCAGAAACTATTGATATAAGGGGATACCACACTTACCTGGCAAACCACCCATCTAACAACCGCCGTGGAGGTGCAGCCATCCTAGTAAAGCGCACAATCCAACACATAGCGCTCATGCCGACAACCCTGGAAAAAATTCAGTGTGCGCCAGTTGCAATTACACTGCTAAATGGCTCAGTCATTAATGTTGCGGCCATATACTGCCCCCCGCGGGAACATTGGCTGGTTCAAGACTTCAACTACGTATTTAGACAGCTTGGTGCTAAATTTATTGCTGCTGGTGACTGGAATGCCAGAAGTTATTGGTGGGGCAACAGCAGATCAAACCGCAGGGGTAATCTACTCCTTGAAAGTGTGCAGCAGCAAAACCTTGACATTCTGGCAACTGGCTCGTCAACGCGCTTTCCAAATAATGCGCGGCAGTCCCCGACAGCCATTGACTTCGCAGTATATAAAGGTGTGCAGTATGGTCTGCTAAAAATAAGCACATCCAATGACTTAGGATCGGATCACCTGCCGCTGCTGATTGAACTACTGAGTAAGCCAGCAGAAGGCGAACCCAAGTGTCATCTTCTTCCAGCAAATGCGAGCATACCCAAATTTCAATTGTGGCTAAACATGCACATCAATTTGAACACTGAGCTTCACTGTGGCGAAGATATTGACGATGCGGTAGACATACTGGAAAATAATATCCACTCTGCAGCGAAATTTGCAACAAACCTAACTCACCAGCCTTACCGAGGGCAACCAAAATATAACTACACAATCAACAGGCGCATTCAACAAATGATTGAGGCCAAGAGGCTGATTAAACGCCACATACAGGCATACCACAACCCGGCTGCTAGGCAAGCACACAACAGATTAGCCAACAACATTAGCCGGGAAATCAAGCAGGCCAAGGCGAGAAGACTTGATGAGTTGCTGGAATCTATCGATGCAAGGGATAGATACAGTATGCAAAAGTTATGGCGGCTAACGGGGAACATCAAAAGGCAGCCCGCACCTAATTTACCAGTGAGGAAGCACACTGAGGGAGCTGGGGCTTCCCAGTGGTGCAAGACCACCGAAGAAAAAGCTGAAGCCTTTGCGCAGCACCTTGAACAAAGGTTTAGGCCAATGATCACCACGCTGCCCTCTGACAAGAGCCATGTCGAGATGCAAGTATCGCTACCTGTGGCCCAAGGTGAACTCTGCTTCCCTCCAGTCACGCTAGGGGAAGTACAAGCTATAATCAAAACGCTGCAAACAAAAAAGTCTCCGGGGATTGACCGAATCGATAATCGCACGATCAAGGAACTGCCACAGTCAGCTGTACTGTACCTAGTGCTTATTTTTAACGGTATCCTACGCTTTGGACACTTTCCTTGCAAGTGGAAATGTGCCAAAATAACAATGATCCAAAAGCCAGGCAAGCCCTCTGATCAGCTTGGATCATACAGGCCAATAAGCTTACTCGCTGGCTTTTCAAAAATCTTTGAGCGACTGCTGCTGCGCCGGATGTTCCAATTGGACAACATCATCAATGCAATTCCGAGCCACCAATTCGGTTTCAGACGTGAGCATGCTGCTGAACAACAATTGGGTCGAGTTACGCAGTTTATACTAGAAGCGTACGAGGACAATAAATACTGCTCTGCGGTCTATATGGACATACAGGAGGCGTTTGATCGTGTCTGGCATGAC